TTTTGTTTTGATAATCTGAACCGTATGTAGAACTTGTCGAGTACTATATGTCTGTAAAAAATCATATTGATCGGATATCGCTAACTATATGATCAAATCAGTTTTGTATAAAAAAAAAATAGACGGTGTTATAGTTAACGGTTAAAAAAAAACTAATCTGATCAGATAGCTATCGATATCCGATCAATGTGATTTTTTTCAAGCATATAGTACTTGACGAATTCTACACATTGCACGGTTTAGATTATCAAAACGGGACCCGTGATGGCCCCTACGGGTCGAACAGCACTGTCCAGTGCAATGCTTGAAAAGTAGCATAAGAGTAGAATTTTTTTTTTAATTTTAAAAAGTGATAAAAAAAATTTGATAAAAGAGTTGTAATAGTTTATATCAAATCAAGTTTTTAACTCAAATTTGGAATCAAATTAGATTAAAAAAGGTAATGAATGGTTGGAGATTGATTCTCTCTCTTTACAAATCTGAGAGTCTCTCTCTCTATTTCTCTTCTTCTAGGGTTTCTTCATTTTGGGTATCGCTCAGAGTGGGAGGGTTGCAACCAGTGCTGGCCTTCTCTCTTTCCTCCTACTCAATTCTCCTTTCATTTTCTCTGTTGTTGTGGTTCAATGAACATTGGAAGCCTTGTTTTTCCAACTTCTCCCTCCTTGTGAGGTGTTCTACCCGGCATGATGGATTTTCTTCTTTTTTTTCTCCTCTCTTTTCCCTTTCACCTTACCCTAGTTTCCCCTTCACTGGAACCACCATCTCTCTCATCCTCCACCTGCCGGCACCTACACTGCCAAATCTGTCTCTCTTTGGTGTCTCCTCTATCTCTTCGTCTCTACCTCCACCACCACCATTCCACAGCCTTGTTTGTTTGCTTTTCATTTTTTCTATTTTTTCTTGTTTCTTGGTGTTTGATTGTGACTAGGTGTCCATCGATGGCGTGATTGCAACTTACCCTTTCTATGTATATAATCTATGGCTTTTATCTCAAACTTGCTCTATTGCCAAACTTTTATAATCGGCGTCTGTTTTGCAGTATGGGCTTTGCGTCTTGATATTTTCATAGTGTCTTTCTTGGTGCTTCATTTATGATTTTTACTTTATATGGTGTAATTTCTACTATTCAAAAAATAAAAAACAAAAAAAATTGGTTAGTTCCATTTGTTTAGAAAGAAACGAATGATAGAAAGTGAAAATGGTAGAAAGGGAAAAAAATAAAATTTATTTCCTTGAATGCATTTGAATAGATTTAAAATTTTATAAGAAAATGATAAAAAAATATAATGACGGCATAATAGGGAGTTGTGGAGAAAAATATAGGTAAAGAAGAAACAAAAAATAAGCATTGTCAAGTTTTGTGATAAAAAAATATATATATATTTCCTTATATGTTTTGCAAGAAATCATAATCCTCACTAACAAGCTAAAGTTGTATATGAAACTTCAGTTTCTATTACTTTTTATGACTCTCTATCTAAACAAATGCATAAAAAATTATTTTTTTCTTTTTCTTTCACTTTCATATATTCTTAGTGCATTCAAGCCGAAACCTCGGAAGTTCAGCTTTTCCGAGCCATCTAGAGAAGAGATCCAAGATGTGAGATTTTCCGCGAGAAACGCCTCCATCTTTGTGTAAAACTAAGATGAAATGAATGTTCCCGAAGTTGAGGCTTTTATAGAGGGAAAAACACTATTCACGGGGTCACGTGTCAAAAACCAGGTGGCTGCAGGAATAAGTGGCCGGCCGGCCACCTTTTCTGGCTGGCCGGCCATTCTCTTTTTGAAAAACTGGCCGGCCGGCTCCCACTCTCCATAAAATTGGCCGGCCGGCTCCCAAAGGTGGTCGGCAATGCTCCAGTGTACCTCCTTGGCCCTATTTTACCCTTCGAGGGAAAGTTTCAAGCATTTCCATGCAACGGGAGAGTCAAAGACCTTCATTTCCCTCTGTTTCGGATGCGTTCCGGCGCCCAGATCGTCCGAAGTACACTCTGTTGTTGCCGAGTTTTGTTTATCGAGTTGTTGTTTTGATTATCGAGTTGTTGTTTTGCTTATCGAGTTGTTTGTCGAGCGGACGTGTTTCGTGTTTTTGAGTCATTGCGCTCTGTTTAAGCAATCTTTGTTTAAGTCTTGTTTATTTACGTTGTCAACACTGTTGCATTTTGTTTATTGAGTTGTAAGCTTCCTAAGGTTCTGTTATATCTTAGTAAGTTGAGTTGCTTAGTTTGTTGCGTCGGTTCACTACCTGACTTGGTGATTACACAATGCACATTACCATTCATATTCATTTCTGTGCAAAATAAAATGATGCGATACGATGCTAAAAATTTAAAATACAAACACCATTTTAAAAGCTATTTCATTCCAACATGTTTTACAAAGGAACAAGTTTTACGAAAAATAAAACTACTTGACAATGTGCAAAGTGCTACAAACTACTAGCAAAAAGAAAAATAAAGCAGGAAACAGCAGCATCAATGTCCTCGGGAGCGGGAATGAGAAGCACGCCTCATCCTCTTCTGCGGAACAACCTCTACACCATCATCATCATCTGAGTCGGAGCTGTCATCCTCAGGATCCCCCTCAACCTCGCCTCTGTTCCCCGAACCAAGACCGGAGCCCCCCTCCTCAGCAGATGTCTCTGACTGACGGTCGGTAGCCTCCTCCTCCTCCTCATCATCCTCCTCCTCCTCATCAGGCTCCGCCTCTACAACGTGAGCCCTGCGTCTGCGGACAGGCCCTCCTCGAGCTCCTAGAAAAGGCCTACATGGCCTGGCTCCTCGGAAAGGCCGGGATGGCCCAGCCCCCTGAAAAGGCCCGGATGACCCAACTCCGTGAAATGGCCCAGATGGCCCAGTTCCCTAAGGAGGCCTAGGTGGCCTGGCCTGCGGCTGACCGGACCATGAAGGTATCTGAAAACGAAGAGTTCAATTCAAATACATCAGCCGAAATATATACATCAGATGCAGATACAAGCAAAGACTACGTGAAGTGGGTGCATGTAAATACAATGTACAAGTGGGGTGTGTGTCAGATGTGCTCTACACAAGTAGTCTATCGATGCAGTAGAAATCAGCATGTCATCAGAAGTATGATAAATGCCAGAAAACTGAAGGGTACCTGAATGCCCGCGACAGACAACTGTGCCTCCCTACGCAGGACCATGCCCTCGAGTGTGGCCACCAGTCCAACCACCTCCTCTATGTACCCTCGCGATGGCTGCAAAAATGAGCTCATAATCATCAGTGAACAAAAGAATGTCTAAACATCTGAATGATGAATGAAAAAAAATAGTGGAGCATACCAGCGGTGAGTCAGGATCAATGGCGTATCGATCACTGGGCATCGGAGGCTCTAGCGGGATCGGAGTCGGAGAGATAGCCCCATACTGCCACGCCATCAACTCAGTTGGCATATCTGGCCATCCAGGATGAGGATAAGTCGGAGGAGTCGGAGGAATCGATCTACCCCTACCTCTAGATGTGCCAGCCCTACTAGTAGAAGGGGCGTCTGCAGCCCGAGCCCGGGCCTGGCCCGAGGATGACATACCGGCAGGCCTCGTCATCGGGGTACGAGCTCCCGTCAATGGAGGCATCAAATATGTATGGCGGTAAGTGCCGTAATCCCCCTCCTCGAGATATAATAAGGCATCGCTACCCAGCATAGCGCCGACTACCTCCGAGAAAGAGAGCCTGTCAGCAATCCACATACTGACTGGGGGTGCTGAGGGAGGATCCTGAGAAAGATACCCCCATACCTGACGCAGAAAGCGTTCCCCCAGAAACCAGGCTCTACCAACAGGTCCTTCGAGCAGGAACCTGTACTGGGAGGTGCCCGATCCTCTGGGATACTGAAATCGGAGACCATCGCCCAAGGGTGCCCATGGCTTCCATGTGATCTGCGGATAACAAATACATAAGCCAATCAGAAATCGGGAATACACAGAGCAAATCAAAGATGAAAATGAAAAGAACTGAAAGTTCGGAAGTACCTCCGATGGGCGCACAGTGTTAAAGTACTGTCGCAGATAAATAAGAGTCTCTCGGGGTCTCGGCCGGTGCGGGCCCTCGAATACCAATGAATATGGGGTCATGGGAGGCCCTGCCACCTCCAACTCTGGGGCTAATGCTGGGAAGTATACATAGACCCATACCTGAGAAAAGCAGTGCAGAATGTAAGTACAAAGTGTTGAGAACAAAATACAGATTGTAGAGTACGCTGTGTGTGTGCAATGTACAAGTAATGAAGAGTAGAAATGTAAATCAAGGGGACAGAAAAGTACCTCCCAGGCTCGCCAGTAACCGCCAAGTAAGTCTCCCTGCCCGCGGCAGGTGGCGCTCACATAAAAGTAAAGGGTAGCAAGGCCGGCGCCACCCCAGTCATATCGACTGACCTGTGATAGGTCAACCAGAGCGCTCAGCAGGTATAGCCCGACTGTGTTCCCTCTATCGGCGAACAGGGTAGTCCCGAAGAGGAACATAAGGAAACCACGAGCGTACTGCTCCGTCTCCTCGGGACTCTCAGGCACCATCCCCGCCCGCCGGAAGTGGGAAGAGAACCAAGTATATCGGACTCTCCCAGAAACCCTGTCAACAGG